GTAAGTGTCGTGTGACTTGGGTGTTCCCACGGTGGACGCATGGTGCTGCATGGCCTGTTGGGGGAACTCTGCAGTGTTGGTTGTGTGTGTGAGTGTGTGGACTGCTTTCTCACCTGATGGATGGATGGATGATGTATCTTGTTCCTAACGGCGTATCTTTGTATAGTGCATTGTCTTTTCATTTTTGAACGGCTGTAAGTAGAAGGTTCCTGCTGAGGTTGTCTTTTCCTTTTCAGTGCAGTAGAGGCAGTTCGGGACCATCTTGGGATGCCTTTCCAGTTGGTCCTGGTCCACGACCTACTTGGGACCCTTTGGGACTCTGTGAGATCAGGCCTAACGAGACAGGACCCTTTGGCCCCAAATCTGTGGCCGTCTGTTGCATTTCTCTGCTGCGCTGGAACTGGGGGACAGACAGCTAGTAGGGGCATTCGCCTTTTGAGGCGATCCTGATTGGGTGTATCCACACACTCTTATCGCACTGCCCGGTGTCTGGCTCGGTGACCATCTGCGCCCCTCGAAAACTCCATTGCTTCAATTGGTTGATCCTTTGTTTGACTTATTTTGTGATGCATGATCTGAGTTAGGTTGGTCAAGAGGGGATCTCGAGTCTGATCTGACCAGACCCATTCGTTAAACAACCACTACCTCTGTCACTCTTGGGAAAAATGGGAAAACTGGCTGTTTTCCCATCTTTTCCAAACTTTTCGGGGGTTGGACGAGGCTCGGCAGTTGGGTCTTGTGCCTTCAAAAACAAAAAGAAAAACAAAAGATCATGTCGGGGAGGGTCGTGCACCAAGTTGTGCTCACACCAAAACTCACATGTTCGTATCTAACCGCTATAGTGGCCAGTTTCAGGTTTTCATTGTTTGTGTTTCTTGTTTTCTTTCTTTTTAAAGTTTTGGTGCCTCGCCAGGGAGGCACGGCGCGGTCCAGGGAGGAGGGCATGCCCACACTCTTACTTTGTAGAATGTATAAACCCGTTTTCCTGGCCTAAGTTCAGTTTCAATTTTTTTTGTCCTTTTCCTTCTTCCGTGGACCTGACACCCTTGCCGTAATGCCCTCACTGAGGGCATACCCACACAACGACTTTGGGCTAGGTATCTACCTGGTATCACGTCCAGAGGGGTGTTTGTTTTTTTACTTTTATTTTTTTGTGGCTGCGAGCGGGTCGTTTTTCGAAAGTATGGCCGTGCTTTTTCTCTTTTTTTTTCAGGAGAGTACCAGATGAGAAACAAAACGGGGAATCCAGGCTCGGCAAAACTCGGTGCGCAGTGAAAATCAGGGTCGGCATTATTCTGTGGATCATGGACTTCTGCCTCATGGGATATGATGTGGGCAGATCGTGTATGTTTGGGATATTATCCCCTCATGATGTCATTTATCTCGGCTTGTTTGTTGTTTATTTTTGCAGCGAAACTAATGAGCTATATTGTTGCACCCAATTTCATCGGTCTGCCTGCAATTACAGTCCCGGTGAGTTTGCCGCGTGCCCTTTCCTCCTCCCACAACCTCTCCTCTCCCAACAATTTCCGAACAATTGAGGGGTTATGCACGCATGGTACACTGTCAGATGTTCCAGTGGCACAAATTCATTTCTCATCCAAGTGATCCGTGACCATCCGGGTTAAAAAATGGCTTGTTTTGCATGTGATCAACGCCGGCTGTTCGGTTCAGGGTAGTTGGACTCTATCATTTTCATAAATTCATTCATTTCAACCAGTTGCTGATGCCACTAAGAAACAAAAACGTGAATGAAAAAGGAAAATAAATTTAAAAGAGACTCTGATACATCAAGTCAATGAAAAGGAAAAATGTATGTCTTTTTTTTTTTTTTTTTTTTTNTTTTTTTTTTTTTTTTTTTTTTTTTTTTTTAGCGCCCCCTGCAGTGCTAGTGGTGCTGGTAAAAGCAGACACCACTTGCATCTGGGGAGAGGCTCCATCTATTGGTGGGGTGCATCACCTGCTGGAAAACGGGTCCAGCGACCCATGTACAGAATGAACCAGGAGGATATCAGGGAAGATGTCTGAGAAAATCCTGGAAGCACTGCTTACTCACACCTCCAGAGGATTAACTGTGCAGGTTGTTGAGAAATTGGAGACCTGCTGCTGAGAATCAGTTCCTCCCTCCCCCCAACTATCCGTACCCACCCTGCCCCAGTCATTTTTACCACCCAATCCCCCGCTGTCAATCCCTCTGTTCGACATCGTGATAACTTGCTTGCCTCTCATAAGACACTCTTCCTGCCTTTTGATGCTTGAGCTTGATGATTGGTAGCCTTGTGCAGGCCCTTCCAACCCCCAGGGGGCACCGGGGGTGGATCTTTGTCCGATGAGCAGCAACTGTGATCATTCAAGAACCTCCAGCAGAGAAAGGGGGTGAGGTGGGAAGGTGTCCAGGAATTCTGACGGGGGTCTCAATGTTAGTCCAGTCATTGAAGATGAGGCGATAGTCCCTGGGGGCCCGTGTCCTGACAGAGTAGCCTGATCCGCCCCCCAATGCACATGAGCAATCCACCCCCCGCGCTCCCTCCCCAGCCAGTCCTTGCAGAAGCCAGTGAGAGCTCGCTTGATATTCGTACGTTCTGAAAAATATCCAGTTGAGCTTTGACTGTATACCATCTGTTCATCAGTTCCAACTGGATCTGTTCCTTGATTTGCCCTGAGTTCTGTACCTTCCACTCTAACCCCTTCTAGCTTAAGCAGGCAACGCTGCCACCAAAGGGCCCAGAGGACAGATCGTCCGTAAAGTTAGACAGGTTAGCGATCGCTGGGCAGTGTCCAGTCAGTATCGTGTGCCACGACCATGGCCGGGACACATCGGGCAAATGCGAGCAGTGCAACTGGCCACTGCATAAAGATATGCTCGATGGTCTCGTTCCACTTTCGTTGGGGAAGGTGTGTAGGCACCTCTGCCACCAAGGTAGTGCAGCTCCTTTTTGTTCCAGGCAAGTGTAGTCAATCAGTCAGGTGTTGGTGGGGAGGCAGCAATGAGCAATATGCCATTGCAATGATGTGACCTTAGCCGGTCTGACCTTGCCATCGTTGAACCATCTTATTGGTGTGACGAGGTACCGATCCAGATTGAGGTGCCTCGCCCACCTGTCATTAGTCTGATCTCGCAGCAGTCGTGTGGGACGGAGCATCCTATACGCGGTCTTGACTGACAGGCCATGGAGGTGAACCATCTTGCCCGACGTGTATCCCACCCTCCCGGTAGACTTCCATTGCCATTTCTGCGGATCCAGGAGTAGCTCCTGAACAGGTGTTTATGGCTGAAAGATAGTAGTGACTTCCCCCTCCCCAAGCACGCGCACTCTGAAGACTTCTGTTTTGTCTCGCCACTCAAATGGGTTGCGGGATCCCCTCAGTTCGTTCCCTGGGCCTATTGTGTAGGATTCTACCAGCACGTCTGAAACCCTTATCATGTGGAGCCTACCTATTCTGTTCAAATCATTTGGGAAACCAACCCAGTCCCCTTCCTTCAACGTGGGCCCTTGTTTGAGGAGCCTGTACCATGAGAGAGGGATCGCTTCAATGATTATGTCCAGGTGTCTGTCCACGTGATGGCAGTAACGAAGAGTGTCCCGCAGCTGGGAGGCCGACTTCCCGCCATTCTTCTCTTGGTCCCACAATCACCCAATGCGGAGCACCCCATGCTTAACCCAGTCTTTCCATGGTGCCGCTGAACTGCATAATACCCGCTCCTGGTGGGGTGTGATCCACCGATTCCCAAAAAGGAGTTGTCGGCACACATTCTCCCAGCCGACTGGGTACCAATTCATTGGGGAGGGGAAGCCGTCGCCAGTTGTTCAAGAGTGTTGGCCAAAAGTTTTCTACTGGTTTTCCTTGAACTTTATGGGGAATTAACCAGTAGAGGTCCTCCAGCCATGTAAGCGGATGTACCTCTGCGGGGTTGATGGGGGCTAGTCGGGCTATATGCTCCAGGGCTAGAGGCCGCCAGGGCATGGCTACAATCTGCACATTTGGGGTGAGGTCTCACTTACCTGGATTCTTCATTGTCCGACTGTCCATGCTGATATCTTCTTCTCTCTCTCGGACATGTGGAGCCTGTACCGAGGTTGGAAACAGGGAGAACACAGCGCCCTGCAATGGGCGGTACTGATGTCCCCAACCCGGGAGGGTAGGTGTGAGTGCACCACCTACTGGCACCCTGCTTTAGGCTGACCAGTGGGTATGTTGCTTCTGCACATCGTCTGGGATTGCCCTTTTTGTTCTCTCCTAACGCATAGGCCCTTCTGTAGTCTTATGACCCATACTTCCTCTGACATTCCCAGCCTCTCCCAAGGCCTCTGCTGTCTTGCTCCTTCTTTGGTACGTGTGGTTGCACCTGTCTGTCTTTGCTGTTTGTCCAACCTTTGTAGAGAAGCATACATGGCTTGGAAGTTGTCCCCCCAGCATGCTCTTCCGTAAAATTTTGGGGATTGTGACCCCCTTCCTCATCGGGGCTGCAGTCTGATGACCTGGCAGGGACCGGTCACTGGACTGCAGTGCACATGTTACCTCTCGGAGTTCTCCTGTGCACTGGGTGAAACTACTTGTTTCAGTCTTAGCCCTGTTGGTTGCCCACACCCCTGCTCCTCTTAACACCTGCTCGATCTTCAGGGCTACTTCCGCCATGGCGCTGCAGCTAGCTCTTCAGCTCCTTGCATTTAGGGCCGAACTGGATTGGCAATCTCTGTGGAAGAGCCCTTATGAATAAGTACATGATGGGCTTCTATCCCATGGATGGAAGAGAGTGTCACTTACAATAGCAGAAAGTTGAAGCATGAGGGAAGACTGCCAATTGAAGAAAACTATGCAAGGCATTACATGTCGAAACACACATAGAGAGTCCATCGTGTCAGACACAGCGCTTGTGAATTACCCTTCTCACCTCACTGCTCAGGTGATCTGCGGCACACCCATTATCCATCTATCATATATAGGTGTTCTTCTCGTTATCTACTCCATGTCCCATGTCCTGTCTCTGTCCCTCCTCATTTCTGCCCTTCTCCGCCTTGACGCTGCTTATCATGCTGTGTTTTTTCGAGCTCCATCGTCAATTAAATTGCACACCCATTACTGTTGATAAGCAGAACCGTATGTCTAAATCCTGATGGAGTCACATGGATACAATGAAGTCAAGGGCTACTGCGAGGCACAAGGCCTCGATACGCCCTACTGGGCCCTATTTTCACCACAGTCGGCCGCCCTAAGCGAAGGCATGGAGTGATGGTGGGAGTCGGCTATGGCAAAAAGAGAAAGTGATGCTGCACTCGGTTTCGAGCGGGATCGAGCGTAACGGAAGGGTAAGTAGAGGTTCTGGTGCCAAGCGAACCTGATTTTGAAGTTAGTTTCAGGAGAAAGTTAGTAGGACGAGAGGTTAGTGAAAGAGGAGGTGCGCGGAGACGTCAGAATGGAAGATATGGCGGGGGAGGGTGGCTATGTACCAGTCCGTGGTCCTGTAAAAGATTCGTTCCGATTTTTACTCATTCGGTCGGCGGCTTGTAGTGTGAATCCTGGCGTAATCATTATTGTTTGGAGTCGTGATCATGCTGCTGCTCCGCCATGGTCCGAAAGTCGAAGCTGCTGTACTAGACTGCGTAGTAACGAGGACCTACAAAAGCTCCGAGTGGGCCGTGTGCAGGTTCCTTGGAAGAAGGTTCGGGGGCCCTGTAGTTCCCTGAACTGAAGTCCTGAGAGGCAACCTCTGCAACGGCCGTTTTTGGTAAGCGGAACCTGTAAGCGGGACAAGCGAGGCAGAAAGACTGAGGGAAAGTGAACTCACCTGCCGGATCGAAAAGGTGTTGTGCTCCTTGCTGTGGCTGAAAGCTGGGACTGCCGGGTGGCAGGGTTGCTGCGCTTCTGGCTGCCGAGATTTTTCTTGCTGAAGCCTTGCTGCTGGTGTTGGGCCGCATTGCAGTGGCTACCACGAGGAGCAAAGGGTGGGCTGCAAAGCCAGAACATTCTTTGTTGCTCTTTTGTTGTGGGCTCCGTAGTCTGTCTCAACTACTGAGCTGCAGCAGCGGTTGTTGAGCCTACTACGGACTGCTGCGCTGCTTAGAGTACGGTTGCTTAGCGTTGTGTGACCCCAGTTGGACCACGAGAGACGAAGGTGTGGTGTAGGGGGAGTGATCAGATTGCGAGGAGAGATAGTGCCGTAAACTGGGAGGTCGTCAGGAGGGGTTGTGTCGACAGCTTGACGTTGGTTTGATCGAGTTAATGCTTTTCTGGCCGCCATTGCGGGGTCCTCAGGCGCTTGAAGAGTTTAAGGCCCCGAGTCTGAGTGCACCATTCTTGTATCTGAGAGACTTAATGATTTTATTTCTGCTCTTCTTACTCTAAGTCTGGTCTATTGGTTCTGAGAGGAAGGCGGCAGGCGGGATTGCAACCCGTAATCCGTGCCAAGGCCTTTGTGGGAGGTTCGCCCCACTGATTGCGGGAGCTCAGCCGAAACTCAGGGGGAGTTCTGG